ATTTATAATAAGTCAGATTATTTGCAAGACCACCAATTAGATCAAATCTGTTAAATTACTTTAAATGGCTCAGACTCTACTAATCTAATCTATTAATAAGATTCTACTCTGTAGAAGCCATCATTAACAACAGCAACACAAAAGACAAGCACCTCTCATCTCTGCTCTTACAGGACCCTGTTCTTTTAGGATATGAACAGGAAGAAGCACAATTTACTCATTCTAATCTGAAATACTTATCCACATCAAATTACCCTATCAAACACTAAACAGTCCAGCGCAGATCCGAGTCATCCAAATATACTAAGTCTTATGCAGAGAAAAGAGGTAATCATGTTCAAGTTAGACCAGTTCAAATTTCTGTAAGAACACCAGTGTTGGTGAAACTTTAGAAGGCAGCTTCCCTGGATAAAGGAAAAAAAGGCTACATTAATTCCAAGTAGCTTCCCCATCATGATAAAAGATAAATCATGCATTTTCCTATGCTAATCTTTACCAAAAATTCTTAAAAATCAAGGTATTAATAACTAGTTAGGACTTCAGAAGAGCAGACAGTTGATCCTGTCTTCTAACCCCAGTATTTCAGAGCAGCATCAATTAAACTGCAGCAGTGACAAGTGCTGCACACTATTACTCCAACTTCCTATGACTCCTGCTTGTATGACAGTTCATTTGTCTCAATGAGTCTGCTCTTGCCTTCAAATTAGCTATGGGAAGATAGAAGACACCTACCACATGGCCTACCCACTGCCATTCTCTCACCCCTGCCTACGTTGTGCCAATTCTTGCCCTTACCTTTAAAAGCCGCCTTCTTGAATCTTCCTGCTGGTTTAACGAGCCAAGGCTTGGCATAGTTACCCTCAAGCCTTCCTCTGCTCTAATAAACACTAGCATTTAGGCTATCGATGTCTGCCAGTTTGGATCTGCAGGAACTTCACTGTTGCTTGAAGCTAAAAGACTGAAACTTTAATGCCCACAGGGTATCAGCATCTAATACAAAATTAGGTGCCCCAAGAAAGCAGTAATTCACTGCCAAGCAAATTCAAATCCAACAACAGAAGCTATGGATAAACACTTTGCCCAAAAGAATAAAGGGGAACAAGGGACATCCATTCTATTCAAAGCTACAGAAAAACTGATAGGGAATACATGTGAGTAAAATAGAGCAACTCAGCCTTAACTAAACATAAATGTTGAATCAAACTTTACATTTAGAATATGAAAAATGTGGTTGCTAAAGTAACTGATAATTTACCTAGCTTGAGCAGAATGATGGACTCCATGCCACAAAGCGTTGATTAAAGAATTAACCACATACAGAAACAATAAAATCTCTGTAACAGAGTAAAAAGTGCCTGGTAAGTATTAACTGCATGGTTGTATAGGGAATAGTTGTTGAGGGAGTGGGCAGAGTTGCCTGAAAATTATGTTTTACGGTCATCTTCCATGGCCTGTTTCTGGCTGTATGTTCTCTATCTTCACTGGAAAAGCACAACCCACTGCTGATTGAACCCCTTAGGATTGCAAAGCACAATCTCTATCTCTTGGGAAGCCAAGCTCATTTAGTATTTTAATATAGCTGAATGCAACTTTACCCATCCAGGAACAAAGGGCACCATTCACACTTAACATGGGCAGACCTGTGTTCTGGAAAATACCAAACCTCAGAGGTTCTCTCAGATTATGGTGAATAATAAAGAGGACGAGCTCCCACTACAGTGCTGCAGCCAAGAGGCTTGGCAGGAAACACAACAGCATTCAGGAGCAACACAGAAGAAATGTTACCCTGTCTAGTCTAGTGGTAAAATGACTACCACACTGGGTGACCACACTTCACAAAGAGTGCTGAAAAATTAGTCTTCAGAAAAGTCACCCGGGGGAAAAAAAAAAAAAAAATCAGGAGCCTGAGAAACCTTCTTTACCTTCTTTCTAGGACCAGACTCTCTTGGACTACCTACGTGAAGTTTGGCACAGCTGCATGTGTAAAACTACTCTGGAGTCTCTAAAAGGCTGTTCTTCAAATTTTATATAAATTCACAGAGGTTGTAAGTCACAGTAACAACTAGTAGCATCAGTAAATGTTTACTAGAAAAGCCAGAACAGAGCCATCACTAGAAGTATTTGTGCTAGGTATGCACTTCACTTTCTCTCAAACTTCCGATTTCATGGAAAAATTACCAGAGTAAGAATCTTCAGTTATTCCTACAAACCTATATAAAAAAATTAACAACAGCCCCTTCAGACTCTTAAGGATTTAAGGCACTTTTTCACAGCAAGTACTACCCCTTGCTATGTGAAAGCTAGAAGGTTCCTGATGAGAACATACAGAAATAAAATACTGGGCCTATTTCCTTAAAGCAAATGGTTTCTCTCTTCCTATTCTTGTCTACTTCACTACATAACCAACCATCTGGTTGGACCAGATGATCTTTTGAGGTCCCTTCCAACCTGGTCTCTTCCATGATTCTATGATTCTATAACTTGAAAAATCCATGTTTAATATTGGATCACATGTTGCCCGAGACACAATCTGCTCACATATTCAGTTTTCTTCCTGCTAAAGAAAGGGTTGCAATCATTGAGGTTTGACAGTATCAGTGTCATATTACCATGCAAGTGGGGGTAAAAAATAGTAAAAAAAGTCAAAAGCTGCTAGCTTCTTTTGATTTTAGGTGGAGGTTATTCAAGGACATACCAGCTAGTTGCGGAACCAGATTCCCAAATCCACAGAAGTTTTGCAGGTAACTGTGAGCAAAAGCTGTTTGACAAGCAGCAGCATTGCCTACTGAAATATAAGCTTGGACAGACTGCTGCTTTAAAGAGCTCAGATACTTGCTGCCAGGAAAGCATAAAAGCAGGAAAAGTTTAAATGACAGCGATCTCTGTCACAACAGAAGTGGGATGGGACCTGGTAACAGGGTGAAACAATCCTAACATTAGCTGTTCCCGGCTTCAGGGAGGAGAGCAGCAGGTGGCAGGGTCTAACATTGCCCCACAGTGTGGCTCCTGCAAGAGGGCTCATTCCTGATATGCAGGGGAGGGGAGGACAAGGAAAGGACTCAGAAGTGTACTCGCCTTTTCTATGGCCTGGAAAATAATCAAATGTGTAGGCAAATCACATTTTTCTCCCAAGTTACAGGAGGGATGGGGCAATTCGTACTTCACCAGAATGCCTTCAGGCTAAGGATCAAAGACCACAAACTATGGCACAACCATAGCGTCGCCACCAAAAATCAGCTGGTTTTCAGGTAACCTACCAGTGCCCATGGAAGCACCGTTTTCAGTAAAAGCATCACCAGTTCTGAAATTATGTTCCTCAATCTGTCTCACAGACCTCTCATTTGCAATTTAGAAGTCTGCATGAGATTCACATTCAGATTTTTCTTCAGTTTTAACTACACCCAAAGGGAGCAAATGAGTTTTCACAGGGGCCTGTAATATTATAGTGAAGCCAAAAGTCATGCAGATAAAATGGTTATGATGATCCTTTGTGACGTGAAAACACAAATTTGAATCCAGCCAAAAACTTATAATTATTGTTGCCTCTATCAGAATGGAGGCAAATATGCCAGAACATCTAGAATAGTCACATACCAGAAAATGTTTTTCAAATGCTATGTCCAACCACAGCAGTTTGAGTATTTTAGCAAGAAACCATAAAAAGATTATTTTTCACTCCTGTCAGGACTCCAAGAATACAGCAACTCCTAAGCACCCCCACAACAGGACTTTTGTTCTGCGCAAGGCATTAGAAGAGATGCCTCAAGGAATTATGAGCAGACCACTCATTTGGCTATCCTGACATTCATGATTGAATTCCTCTCAGTTTTAGCTTGTCCCAAGTCCTGGAGTGAAACCAGTGGTATTTAGGACAAGGACAGAGAAAAGCAGGGAATTTGATTGAAACGGCAGCACTGTCATTGGAACCATGAACACTACCCTGCCTTGCAGGAAGCATGGATGGGACAACGGCAATCTTTCCATGATGTTAAAGAACTAAGGCCTCCCCACGAGCAGTCTGAGGAAGCCCCAGGTACGCAACATACTGACATCCTGCCTAGTCCAAAGACCTCAAACCTTATTAAACAAATATCCACAGCCACCTGCTTTGGATTCTGGAGTAAAGCTCTTATCCCAGTGATAGAAAGCATATGGAATACATTACCATCAGAAGTTATAAAATACCAGCTCATTATGTGACATAAAAGTACTCAGAAAAAAACCTCTCTGCAGCTATATGGCTGATTAAGTTGCAAGTACTTATTATTCTCCTCTGTTTGAAAAGTACAGCAAATAAAGTCTGCTTCTAAAGAACAATTTAAGATGTTACCAAAATAAGAGCAGGGAAAAGTGTTGACATAAGAAACACGCTCACT